GGCCCCAGGTCCCCCTTCTCCTGGGCCTCGCTCTTGATCTTCTCCAGCTGGCGGCCTGACGGGGAGAGCCGAGGGCTCCGGCTGCTCTTCCAGCTCGGAGCCGGAGCGGGGACGGAGCCGTGTCCCGTGCTGGCCCCTTACCCGTGGCCTGCGCGACGGCCTTCATGAGGATGCTCTCCCCGATGCCCAGCTCCAGCCCCTCGTAGGCAGGGCCCAGGCGGTTCAGGCAGAGGTAGACGCAGGCCAGGAGGTCCGACGGGGACAGGGCGATGACGGAGCGCAGGAAGTTGCTCAGGGTCTCGATGTTCTTCAGGCTGCAGGTGGGAAGGAGTTAGGCAAGGGGAGAAGCTGCCAAAGCAGCTGCCCATGGAGACGGGGCCTTACCGGGCAGAGACCTCCTCGATGCGCTCGAAGGTCCGAGCCACGGCCAGGTAGGGGACCCTGGAAAGGGAGACAGCGCTGCAGAGCCCAGGACTCCTGGGTTTTCCTAACAGCAGCCAGACAGGCCTCAGGAAGAGGCAACAACAGCCCCACAACAAAAGCCCACGGTGTATGTGGTGCTCCAAACCCGTGTGGCACCGCTACCCTGATCCTGGCACTCTCACCTCTGCCCGGGAGCCCAGCAGGCGTCGTGCACGGGGTGATAGCTGCTCTTGGAGGGGTTGTACTGGGCCGGATCCAGCGGCTCGGTGGCCTGCGAGGGGCTGCGAGGGCAGGAGGAGGCTCTTGCGGGAGCCCTCGCGGTGCCCGGCGGCCTCAAACCCCTTCCTGCTGCACCGGCACCCGCTCGTGCGCCCGGAGTTAGGGATGGAGGTTGCACCCTGGGGACCCGGGTTGACCCCGCACGATCCCCCCGCACCTGCTTGCGGCCCCGTTGGTGCCTTCGGTGCCAACAGGAGCTGAATTCTTGGGGGCTGCTGCCTTCAGGGCTGCCTTGGCCTCCGTCTTTGTCCTTGATCCCTTCCTGGGGGCTAGGTGAGAGGGGTGAGAGAAGGGTGTCTAACGAGGGGGGATGGCTGCTGTGTGCCTGGACACCCCCAAACACCCAGAGGCAGCCAGCAGGTCCCACCGCTCTGCTGCTTCCCGCTCACCAAAGAAGTCAGCAACAGCTTTGCTGGGCTTCGGCATCTCCGATGTCTGCACATCCCTGTCCCCGCTGCTGTCTTTTCCCTCCTTAGCCTCCTCCGAGCTCGGATCCTTCTCCTCCTCCGTGCTATCCGATTCACATTGGTCTCCTGCAGGTGCCCGGGGCTGGGCGTTAGGGCCGTGGAACCCGTTGCTGAGCACCAGCGCTCTCATTTCCACAGTGGAGGAGCCGCAGAGGGACCCGGACGCTGTTCAGGGAGCACTGGGCAACCTGCTCCAGTGCTCTGCTCACCTGGCTCTTCCCTCAGCCGCTTGGGATCAGGCTCCGGGACGTTCCCATTCGCGTTCGCCAGCTCCCCTTTGCGCTTGGTGACCTGCTTCTGAGCTGAGCAGCGGGAAAAGAGCAGGAATTAACGACGGCTGCTGCTTCCCCGGGCAGGACAAGCGGGGGCCCATTCCGGCACGTGGTTCCAGAGCCGTTGAAGGCAGCAAGAGGCCCCAAAATACCTGCTCTGGGCTAAATCTTACTCATCACAGCGCGGCCAAGCAAGAATGACACCTCGAGGCAAAGCCCAAATGGGCAAGACCCAGCTGGGCGTTTCAGCACCTGAAGCATCAGGGCACGGGGGAGCGGGTGGCACCAAATGGCACCAAAACTGCCCCTTGATGCGGAGAGAGAGGCCAGCAGAGAATCATAGAATGCTTAAGGTTGGAAGGGACCTCTAGAGGTCATCTAGCCCAACCCCCTGCCCACGCAGGGTCACCTAGAGCACGTGTCACAGGACTGCGTCCAAGCGGGTTTGAAGATCTCCAGGGAAGGAGACTGCACAACCTCTCTGGGCAGCCTGTTCCAGTGCTCTGGCACCCTCACTCTTAAGAAATTTTTCCTTAAGT